ACAGGTAATTAGGGACAGAACCAGGGGGAATGGTTGCAAGTTGCAACAGGGCAAGTTTAGGCTGGACATTAGGAAGAAATTCTTCACGGAAAGAGTGGTCAGACACTGGAACAGACTGCCTGGGGAGGTGGTTGAGTCGCCATCCCTGGATGTGGTTAAGTGTCGCTTGGATGTGGTGTTGGGTGATACGGTTTAGGGGTGACCTTGTAGTGTAGGGTTAATGGTTGGACTCGATGATCCCAAGGGTCTTTTCCAACCTGAATTGTTCTATGATTCTATGATAACTGAACTTTTTCTTCAAGTTAGTATTGTTTCTGGCCAAGAGGGAAATGAATACTACTTGAAAACCAGAGCAGTGCCTAAATGGCAATTTAGTCATTAGAGTTAATATGGTTCATGATTCTGCTGCACTCAGTACCCTTGTAATAAAAATGGAAAAGCCGTGATCTCCGTACTTAATAACTAATACCATAAAGCAGTAGTTCGACTTCCTATGATCTTTTCTTTTTCAGGAGCTTGAAATAGTAATTGGTGATGAGCACATCTCCTTTACCACATCAAAAATCGGTTCACTCATTGATGTAAATCAATCCAAGTATGTACTCTGCTTTTTTTATATATTTCTGTTGGTTTTACCTAACAGTCTGTATTAGAAATTGCTGATTATTTCAAAGTACAAATTAGTGCCTGGGGGCACAAGTGCTTTGTGTCCCAGCATAATGTACCAAAGGCTTTTAGGCCATACCATTATGCACTATATTTTCAAACTCACTGAGTAGCTAACCTTAACGTGGGAACCCCATTGGGCGTATTCAGAGTCTGAACTGAACTATCACTGGCCTGTCTACACCAGTGTCTCTGAGAACCAAGACTTACGTATTTCACCTAAGCTGAAGAAACAGGGTATCATGGCTTTTAAATCCAAAGTGATGCTACTGCTTGCTTGCATAATAAAGATCCACATTTTGTTAAGACTTAAAACATGCACACTTGGACTACAGAATGTTTTCTCAAACAATGCAGAATGAAACAGATCTGTTAATGCCTGCCGTCTGAAAAATCTCCCTGTAGGCTTTGTTTGGTTTTTGTTAAATAGGTTAAACTGTTCTCTTAGAACATCAATCCAACTTTTTTTTTTCCTCTTCCTTTTGTTGTGCACTGCAGGGATCCAGAAGGCCTGAGAGTGTTCTACTACCTGGTCCAGGACCTTAAGTGTCTAGTCTTCAGTCTTATTGGACTACATTTCAAGATCAAGCCAATTTAAATCAAACAGACTGAAGTTTGTACTGCAGTGTCTCTGCTGGGGGTGGGGCAGGGAGGAGTGCTATTTTAATTCCTCACTGTTTCTGACCTGAAGTTTTTATGTATGTTAGATATTTTTTTTTACAAACTGTCAGTGACTGTCTTAATAAAATGGTGAGAGCTGTATTTTTAATTTACAAGTTCTGGTGAGAAACTGACTCCCTAACACTTCTTTTACGGTGGTACCTTCAAGGTATGTTACTACACACGTATCCCACAAAGCTCTGTTTAACTTCTCTATCTATGCAGCAGGAGAAAATGAAGTTAAGTCTGGCTCTGTGAAATCAAACTTTTGCCAGTTGTCAAGATAAACTTTTGTTACTATCTGGAGGTGGATATTCTGCTGGCACAACTGAAGCCCTGACTTCACACATGATAACCACCAGTTACAGCAGACACACGTCACCTTCAGGACAGGGGCCGGCTGTGGTTACCTGTTTGCCTGCAGAGCAGAAGAGGACAACTGGCCACCAAGATCTTTGCCGATACTCCCGTCCAGCTTTAGAAAAACTGAAATTAAAAGCAATGTAGAATGTATTTAGTGAAGTTCTAGATTTGCAGATGTGCTGTGCAAAATCGATTAAGAGACTCAGAGGACCAAACAAGTCTCAACTTTAAATCAGTAATTTTTGCACAGTGCTGTAGGAGACCCCTCCAGGCTCTGAGGATTGACACCACCACAGCTCGGCCGAGCCGTGCCCTTGCCTTCTCTAGCACCACTTTGTTTTTCCTAAAAGAGCAGCCACGGCGATTAAAACAGGATTGTGGCTAAATAACTTTTTGAAAGGTGAAAACATCGAACCCCTGGTGCCCGTGCCAGCACCTCCTGCTTCCCCTCTGG